TGATCGCACAGAGGTTTGTCAATTTACTAAGTCTTTTCAAATAACTAGTATTTGGCTTTGTTGATCCTTTCTATTTCATTCTTGTGTTTTTTGTCTCATTAGTTTCTCTTCTTATCTTTATAGTTTCCTTCCTTTTGCTTTGCTTGGGGTTATTTCCAAGTGGGGTGTTTAGCTCTTTAATTTTCAGCCTTTTAAATTTTATGATGGAAACATTCAAGGCAATAAATTTTTCTTGAGGTACGTTTTCACTGCATTGCATCTGTTTTGATATGTAGTGTTTTCATTACTTTTTAGTTCTAATAATTTTTGAGCGTCTGTTATAATTACTTATTTGATTTGAGTTCTTTAAAAGGCTGTTTTTCAGTTTCAGAAAGCTTGGGGTTTGGGAGCTTTTTAGTTATCTTTTAAAAATCAATTTCTAACCTCTCTGAATTGTAGTCTGTATACTGCTGATTTAGATATTTGTGAAGACTTGCTTTGTAGTCAAGCAGATGATCCCTTTTATAAATGTTCCACGTGGACTTTAAAAGGACACAGTCTCCTCCAGCCACGTTCATTTCCCGCCCTTGCTCTAACACGCTCAATAGGTCAGGCTTACTTAACGTTTGCTCAAATCTTGTGTATCTTGTTTGGTTGTTTTTCTGCCTGCTTCTATCGAAGACCTTGACAGTGGGTTCACCAAGTTCTCCTTGTAGTCATATCAGTATTTGCTTAATATGTTTTAAAGTTGTTATTAGGTGCACATGCATACAACTTTTAGAATTCTTATATCTTCCTGTTGAGCGAAATCTTTTACAATTGAGGTGAACCACTTTGGCTCTAGTACTGCTCTTTGCAGTAAAGTCTATTTGAACTAATATTAATACCATTTCTCCAGCATTCTTTGGTTAGTATTTGTATATCCTTTTCTCACCCTTTTGCTTTCAACCTTTCTTTGCTCTTATTAGGTGTATTACTGTACTTATAAACTGCTTCTAGCTGGATTTTTAAAATTCTAGTCTGACAGTCTTTGCTTTTCAACCAATTAGTTTAATCCATTTACATTTATTGTAATTACTGATATAAATTGTGTTTAGTTGTACTATACTAACTTGTGCTTTCTATTTCTCCTACTTCTTCTGATCTTTTTTCCCTTTATTTCATATATTTTTTTGTCTTTTTCACCCTTGTTTCTGTTTTTTTCCTCTATTAGTTTGAAAGTTATAAATTCTATTTCTGTTCTTTTAGTGATTGGCCTAGAAATGTTAACATTAATTTCTGAGTTAACAATATCTAAAGTTAAAATTAATCCAGGGATTTTAGGTCAATTTAGCTTTCTTGCCTGCTTTCCATTTTACCTGCTATTATTTTCCAGGATTTTTTAACACATTGTGGTTTTTCTTAGTTCTAAAAATTAGACATCTATTAAAACTGTCTTATGTATTCTGTCCCTTTTAGAGTTTATGATGTATGGACATGCACATGCACTCCAAGAAAAAGCAGGCTCTTTTTCACTAAAAGAACTTCCTTTGCTATGACCTTTCATTGGGGCCATTTTTCCCTGAAAACTCTGTTTCCTCTCTCTTCTGAAAAAGAATGTTGCAGGGTTTATAGCTATAGCTTGACAGAACTCTGATAAGAGTCCACTGTCTCTTGCACCTGTCGTTGCTGTTGGGACGTCTGCCTTCCGTTCTTGTCACTCCTGGTTTTACTCTTGACTGCCCTTTTGTTTGGGTCTTTCCTCATATTTACTTCAGTTGTGTGTGTTTGTTTTTAATTTTGTTTTTTTTATTAATCACACAGATATATATTTGTTACCACTACGAAGTAACCACTTGCTTATTGCTTTTTTTTTAATTGTGGTAAAATATACATAACATAAAATCATTTTAACCATATTTAAGTGTACAGTTCAGTGGCATTAAGTGCATTCACAGTGTATGCAACCATCACCACTATCTATATCCAGAACTTTTTCATCATATCAAACAAAAACTCTATATGCATTAAACAATCATTCTCCTTTTTCCCCTCCCACAGCCCCTGGTAACTACTGTTTTACTTTCTGTCTCTATGAAGTTGACTCCTCTAGGGACCTCATATAAGTGGAATCACATAATGTTTGTCCTTTTGTGTCTGGCTTATTTCACTGAGCATAATGTCCTCAAAGTCCATCCATGCTGTAGCACATGTCAGAATTTACTTCCTTTTTGAAGCTGAATAAATTCCATTGTACGTGTGTGTGTGTGTGTGTGTGTGTGTGTGTGTATTTGTTTTTGGCATCTGATGGTGGACACTTGGGTTGTTTCCACCTTTTTGGCTATTGTGAATAGTGCTGCTACTATGTACCTTGATGTACAATTATCTGTTCAGGTTTCTGCTTTCAGTTCTTTTGGATCTATACCCAGAAGTGGAATTGCTGGATCATATGGTAATTCTGTGTTTAATTTTTTGAGAAACTGCAACACTGTTTCACACAGCAGCCACGCCATTTTACATTCCTACCAGCATCTCATGAGGGCTCCCAATCGCTGTACATCCTCATCAACACTTATTTTCCTTTATAAAAATAAAATAAAAGGGATCCTAATGGATGTGAAGTGGTGTCTCCTTGTGGTTTGCCTCGCGTTTCCCTCATGACTGATGATGTTGAGGATCTTTACATGTGCATATTGGCCATTTGTGTGTCTTTGGAGAAATGTCTTTTCAGGTCCCTTCCTTGCCTTTTTTTTTTTTTTTTGCGGTACGCGGGCCTCTCACTGTTGTGGCCTCTCCTGCGGCAGAGCACAGGCTCCGGACGCACAGGCTCAGCGGCCATGGCTCACGGGCCCAGCCGCTACGGGGCATGTGGGATCCTCCCGGACCAGGGCACGAGCCCGTGTCCGCTGCACCGGCAGGCGGACTCTCAACCACTGCGCCACCAGGGAAGCCCACCCATGTGTTTTATGTTACAATTCACACACAGCTATTTCACAATAACAATGGTGATGTTATTATCACCAACAATAGTATTACTGCCAGGTATTTTTCATTTTGGGTCTGTAGCCCTAGAGATACATGGTCGATTCACTGTGGCTTTGTGTCATCTGGAGTGTTTCTCTCTTTGTGGTTCACTTGTTTCATCTTTGGGTTTTTAGAGATTGCTTTTTAAATTTAATTTTGTTTGCAATTCTGTGAAGTGTCTGCATGATTCTGAGACCAAATCTATAACAGGAGGCGATGCCCGGCCTCAGGCTGCGGGAATCTGGTGGCCACTCAGGTGCCAGGCGGAGACAGCTCTGGGGCATGGAGCGGGGGCAGGGGCTGGCAAAAGGAGGGGCAAAAGAAGCCCCAGCCCCAGGAGCTGGCCTGACACCCTTACCTGCCAGTTTTTCCTCCCGCCCAGGTTGCCAGGCAGGAGGGAAGGGTCATCCTGACCTCAGGGCTGCCGTACCACAAGGTGAGGACCCCACAGATGACTCACATCTGAGCCTCGACTTCCTGAGCCGCCCACACCTCAGGGCCTGCTTGCCGTGGGGCCAGGGGGAGGGGGGCTGAGCGGCACCACTGCCCCACCCTGGGTAGAGTGGAGGCTCTCGGCCTGGAGCTGGGAAGGCGGGGCCTGGGTGGGCTCTGGGTTCTGGCCCACCGCTCGACGGTTGCACGTGTCCACAGCTCCGGGCCCAGGTTGGGGCTGGGCGCTGCCTCTCGGTGGACTGCTCCCTTAACCCGGCGTTCGGTTCATCCCACAGCGCCAGTTCTGCTTACCAAAAGTGGCCCACTAGGCACTCGCATTCCACGCCCGGCTCCATGCCAGCGAGCCGGGCTTCTTACCCATATAAAGTTTGAGAATAGGTTGAGATCGTTTCGGCCCCAAGACCTCTAATCATTTGCTTGACCGGATAAAACTGCGTGGGTTCGAGCTAGTTTCGTGCGAGAGCGCCAGCTATCCTGAGGGAAACTTCGGAGGGAACCAGCTACTAGATGGTTCGATTAGTCTTTCGCCCCTATACCCAGGTCGGACGACCGATTTGCACGTCAGGACCGCTACGGACCTCCACCAGAGTTTCCTCTGGCTTCGCCCTGCCCAGGCATAGTTCACCATCTTTCGGGTCCTAACACGTGCGCTCATGCTCCACCTCCCCGGCGCGGCGGGCGAGACGGGCCGGTGGTGCGCCCTCGGCGGACTGGAGAGGCCTCGGGATCCCACCTCGGCCGCCGGCTGAGGGCGGCCTTCACCTTCATTGCGCCACGGCGGCGCAGCAAGCCACAGCCGTGATCAGGCATTTCAACGTGTGTGTCACCCACTCGGACATCTTCAGCCGCTGCCAGGTGGGTGCTGCGTGCCCCTTGCCGGCCCTGGGCCAGTGTGGAAGCCCCAGGCTCTGACAGGTGAGGCCCGCGAGGCCCTGGCGGTGGCGAGATGGCCTTGGCGTTTCTGCTCATGTGAGCAGTGGCCACTGCCTGGTTTGTGCGTTTTCTCCTCTCCGCCACCCCCAGACGCCCATGCCCACGGCACGGGGGAGCTTGGTGGGGGGGGGGCCGGTCTGTGGCCAAGAGGTGGCAGAGCGTCGGGGCCCGCATGGCCAAGGTGGGCAGCCGAGAGTGAAAGGGCAGCTCAGGGCGGGTGTCCGCTCAGGGTTGGGAATGTCCTCCTGGCCCAGGGCTGGCCTCCCACGGGGCTTCTGGAGGGAATACAGGGAACCCACCAAAGTGCCTCTGTCTGGGGCGGATCCCATTTTCCGAGGGCAAGGTCCAGAACCATGGATTGCTGCTGGGTCCACCCTGACGGCTAGAAAGGTCTGGCTGAGGAAATCCCCAGGTCGGGGCAGCCGTACCCAAGGTTAAGATCCGTGAGGAGTCTGGGGCCTGGGCGCCAGGGAGGGGTCACCCCTCCCCTCCCCTGCTGGCCTGGGTGCCCTGTCCTGAGCTGTGCAGCTGAGGGGAGGTGATGCGGCCTTTGGGCCCGGCCCTGCCAGGCTGGGGTATGGCTGCCCTCGGCGTTGGGGTCTGCACGGGTGTGGCGGGCAGGGAGGGGCAGGGAGGGCCAGGGCCGGTCCCCGTGCAGAGTGCTGGCTATTCCCAGAATATTCTGGAGTTCAGGCCACGACCATGTTGCATTGGGAGCAGCTCTCAAAGCCCAGCTGTTTGGTGGCAGTTCAGCCTGGCTTCCCCCATCCGGGTACCCGTGGAGGCCGGCGGGGCCCCGCACTTCTGCACAGTCCCCCGGGCCGGCGCCCAGCAGAGTGGGAGGGAGGGAGGAGGGAGGGAAGCCCCTGTTTTCAGATCCTTGGACCCCCACCGTCTGGCCTGGGGTGCAGTCTTTGCAGAAGCTGGGCCCCTGCCTTGCCAGGACGGACGGTAGCCAAGCCGGGCGGCGGGAAGTGCTTTCCCTTGGGCTGGAGCTCGGGAGGACGGTACCGGGTCCCTGCTCAAGGCTGCAAGTGTTGTAAAGACCCCAGGACGTCAGGCGGGGCCTGGAGGGGCATTTTCCTGAGATTTTCAGAGCCTCTGCTGGTGTCTTCTTGAGAAAACGGAAATTGGGTAGCCAGGAGGAAAACCCCACTCGCGCCGCAGGCCACTGGCTGGGGAGCGCCTGAGCCTTCGGACCTGCAAGGGCCAGGCGCGGAGGGCGGCCGCTGCCCTTCGCGGGAAGAGCATCCAGGGCCCCGCTGCCCTCACCCCACGTGTGCCCTGCCTCTTGGCCCCGCCGCTGCCCTGCCCCCCGTGTGGGCCCCGTGGGGGGGGCGTGGAGCTGGTGCAAAGGCAAGAGACAGAGCCGCACCCTGGCGGGGCCAGCCAGTGCCCCCGGGAGACAGGAGACAGTCCCGAGGGGGCAGCGGGGCCCAGGGAGGCCACAGCAGGCGGGACAGATTTGCAGCATTCTAACCGCAGGGCGGGGAGGCAGGAGACCTGGAGCAGGTGGTGCACCTGCCCAGGTAAGGGGTGGCAGCAGCTTGTGACGGGGTTGGGGGTGGGGGGCGGCGCGGAGGTGAGGCACAGAGGATCCAGGATACGATTCAAGGGCGTGGCTGGGATCCTAGGTTTTAGGCTGAGCCCCTGGCCGGCGGCCCGGCAGGTGCTGGGTCTGGGCTCTCGGGAATCTGGTCTGGAGGGCGCGCCGGGGTACACCAAGCTCTTGGGGCGGGGGGAAGGGGCTCACTGCCCAGCGCTGTCCTTCTGTGGTAGATGTGCATGCATTCCACACGTGCCCAGCTGGTGAGGAGGACAGAGACAGGGTCCACGGCTCAGGGCCCAGAAGCAGAAGGTGGCCACACCAGTGGCCACACAGGGCTGCCAGGAGTGGGGTGGGGCGCCAGGCAGAGACCTGTGTGTGCGGCCACACGGGCGGCAGGTGGGAGCCCGGGTGTGAGGCTGGGCAGCAGCGCCCAGTGGGCCTTAGTTGGGGAGAGGGGGTCCCAGGGCCGGGGAGCCTCTGAGGCCCGTGGCTGTCCGGCAGCCTCCAGCGGGGCTCAGCTCCAGAGCGAGGCAGGTTGGGTGTGCCCCAGGGCAGGACCCTCCCTGGGTGGCAGACAGCTGTTTGGGGACATCTACATCTGTGCACAAGGACCCCAAAAGGCCGGCACGGCAGGGCCAGGCGGGCAGAGAAGGGGATCCCTGAGAAGCTCGGATTTCTGAATTTGAGCCCAGCCTCGCTCACCACAGAAGCATCCAGGGCAGGGTGGGAGGACCCAGCTGGCTCTGGGTTAGTGGACTGGTTCCCACCGTGGTCTTCAGGCCGTGGAGCTGGTCACGGTGAGCAGAGGAGTCTCACTGCCCACTTGCAGCAGTGTCTGCACACGGGCTGGGCACCTCGGGCCATGCTCCCCCCGCCTGCCCCCAGAGCCCCTCAGCCACGGTGCTCGCGGCCTCCCCTCAGGAGCTCAGCCTGAGCAGCGGCCGGGAACGGCTGCCCGCCCAGCGCCAGAGCAGTGCTGTCCTCGGGGCCGGCCCAGGGGAACCAGTGGCCCTCTCGCAGGTGGACCCCAAGAAACCCAGAAAAGGGGCTGCACAGATGCCCCAAGGTGATGGCCTGAGGCCCAGTGACCAGTAGCTCCTTGCGGCTGCAGACCCTGCTCTGCACTGAGAGGCCACGGCCAGGGCCAGGGTGGCTCCTAAGCCCATCTGGACATCAAAGGGCACTGGCCGCCGGCCAGCAGGGAGCAGCACGCTTAGGACTGACCCAGAGAGCGCCTCCGTGCTGTGCTCAGCCGGCAGGGTCCCGTCCTGCGCCCCCGAGGGCCCGAGCACCCTGGACGCTGGCTCAGAGCCTCTGCTGCCCCTGCCCAGGCCAGAGCTGGTCGCCTCCCTGGAGAGCTCCCGCCGCCAGGCTGAGTTTCCATTTTCTTTTCCTTCCTTCTGCTATTTTGGTGCCGTTCCCAGAGGGAAAACCCACTTGACACACGAAGCATTCCCAGAGCCTGCCCGGCCACTCTCGGGACTGCTCGTCGGGGTGCGAGGCCAGAGCAAGTGAGGCAGGAGGGACTGTGCCCGGCCACGTGGGGGAGGCCCCTGTCCCAGGGAGGTGGCCCGCCCGCCCACCCCGGGGCCCAGTGGGCGAGGGGCAGTGGGTCTCTCCTAGAGGGCAGGGTCATGGCCCACGAAGTCGGCGACTTGGGCCTGGGACTGTCCATCGGGAACGTCCGCCAAGAGGACATTCCCAGTGCTGTCCACCATGGGAAAGGATCTTATCAAAGAAATTTGAGTTTAAAAAAAACCCTAAGCAGGAGCCCAGGCGTGGCCGGGCATAACGTCTATTTTTCTGTTCCTCCGGCCCCCTCTGCTGTGGTGCGGATTGGGCCATGGCCCCAGTGACGTCAGCCCTTAGAAGTGGGCCCCAGGAGGGGAGAGGCCACTGCAGGATGACAGTCACCCCACCTCAGGGAGCTCTCAGCAGAGCCAGCTCAGGGGTCTCCAGGAAGGGGAGGGTGATGGGCGGGGAGCCTGCAGTTACGGGAGGCTGGGCCTTGGGGACAGGCTCACAGACCCGTCCCGGGAGACCCCAGAGCTGGGCAGGGGCCCTGAGAGGGTGGAGGAGGCCGCACAGGCTGATCTCTGGCACGGGAACGGGTGTGGGCAGAGGGCTCTTGGGGCCTGGGCATGCGAGGGGGACCCTGGGCCAGCGGCCCCCCAGCGCACACACCCACGACTTGGGGGCCTGCAGTGGTGGGGGCCCCAGAGCCCTCCCAGACCCAGGGGCCGGCCGGGGCGCCCATGCTCAGCCTGTCCCCGAGCACGGAGACCCTCCCCAACCCTGATGGCCAACTGCAGATGTAGGAACAGACAGGAAGAGGCACAGCGGCCACTGACCCCGCCCCTCCCCGGCCTTTGTGCTCCGTGGCCCCCAGCCCCGTTCCCACACTCGGTGCCCCCAGGGTCACACAGGCACAGAGGCTGCAGAAGGAGCTGCCCCCACCCTGCACAGGCAGAGACCCCGGGCGGCTGGCTTCTGCAGCCGCAGGCGGGGCCTGTCACAGGCCTTGAGGGTGGCGGGAGCTACCGGACAGGTTTCATCAGGGATTGGGGCCCAGCATGCCCCAAGACTCAGGATGCCAGCTGGGGTGTCGGCCCCATCGGCAAGCTCGGCATAGCCCCCCGGAGGTGACAGCATGGTGGGCCCAGCTGATCACCCCAGGAGGCCCTCCCCCCAGCCTGCAGGGCCTTCCTCTCGGTCCCACCCCTCCCCTCTGGGTCTCATCCAGAGCCCAGCCTTGGTTCCCACCAGATGGCTCTTGGGGGAACTGAGGACCTGGATCACACTGGCCTGAGGACCCCTGCTCCCGGTGGCCCACTTCTTTAGGAAGGATCCTGGGCTGGCGTGACAGCCGTACCCACACCCGTGCACGGACACAGGGCTGCCTGGGCACCAGCCGTCTGGTAGTCTGCCACCATGCCTGCCCCAAGTGGGACTCTCATCCTCCCGCAGGGCTACCAGGGGCCCCCATGCGGTCCGAGATGTGTGCTGAGGCCCTGGGAACAGCCTGGGCCAGGGGACCTGCTGGTCAGCGCCCGGGGAGGTTGGGTGTGTGAGTCCCCAGCCCAGCTCACTCCGGGCGCCCATCCAGGCACCCAGCTCCTTGCTCCTTTTGTGTCTGTCTGTGGGGAAGGTGCCCCGGGGACCAGCGGTCAGGGCCACTCCCCTCTGGACCCTGGTCCTCACGTGTGCTTCTAAGAGGTGCTCCCATGTGCGGTCTGGGGGGCCCCCCCCAGGATGTACCTCCTGGATGTTGACGGATGTTCACTTTTTAAAAGGGCCAAGATGCTTCAAGTCACAATGCAGAGGACGCAGACTCGCCTGACACAGGACAGGCGTGTAGCCCAGACAGGTCACA